AGTGCTCTCTCGCAAGTAAGTCACTTATTTTAATAAACTTTCTAGTATTCTTAGGTAGATATAATAGTTATTAAATTGTTATCGATTTTTTTAAACACGCATAATTATAAATAATTAATATGTCAGTGATCAAATCTGATGAGATTACTAAGGACTTTTTTAGTTCTGAATGTAATCAAATATCTTCGATCGTTTAAATCTTTAATTTGTTAGTAGTAAAGCTCAAAATGGATTTGAAACCGTCGAATATATAAATAGATTGAATACAGTCGCTAATATCAAAATTGTAACCGAACTTGTTTCAATAATGATGAGGGGTAAAATACAATGCATCAGGTATCCGCCACACTCACACTCAGCGAGTGTGACGATAGGTGCATCGCCCACTGGCGTGATACTTGAATCATTCTGATTGGCCGATAATTATCGCGCATGTAAATTTATCCTTTTACGCAGGCTCATCAAATGTAATTCTGCGGCATTTTACGAATCCACTTAGAGGGCTGTATCTTCTGTATCTCTTTAGAGATATAATTGGAGAATAAATTGTTTTCTTTTTTTTAGATCGAAAACGCGAAATATCAGCAGTTCAATTTAACAAGTCCATTTAGGATGGACTACAGTCTGGTCTCGCATTTAATGAGTGAGTATATTAGTTTATTAAAATAACTGTTTTATTATGAGTTCACTTGAGTAAATTATAGCGTATATCACCCGCATCATATAGCTTCACATAGATGAAAGAATTTTTGAAAATTATTCCAGTAGTTATGTAATCAACTCAATCCTAACAAAAAAAAACTAAATCTTTCCTCTTTATAAAATTAGTTACGTCAGCTCAGTTATTTGTAATTTGAAGACATAAATTGTTTACAGATGTTATTTTGAACAACGACACCATTATTTTTTCTAATATTATTTGCGGGCACGTGATTCACACACGTGATTTAATGTTTTTTTAAATTATATATCAATAAAACTTTGTGCCAGCCTTGAGAACTCGCTTTGCCAAGTGATCGTCTTTTTCAAGTGATCATTTGACTTTAAAATTACACCTGGCGGAGCGCCTCCTCTTCCCCTTCAATACGCATACGCCTGCGCCTACACCTCTGTGAGACATGACAACCACTACACCTTCGGATCGCGATAGACTTTGAAATTAGACAACAACTGGAAAAAAAAAATTCCATTTCGTCCGTCAGTCCGAAAATAGAGAAATATTATATAATTAAACAAGAAATGGCTTAAAATGCCCAAAAGCATGACGTCGTGCGACATTTCAACTCAATGTATAGTCGTAATTTATTGATTACGCAAAAAAAAACCTATTTAATATCCTTCAATAATCTACCTCACGGAGAAACAAACAAAAATCAGTCATCATCCTTAGCTCGCCGTGTGAACTCGGGGGAATGAGCATAAAATATATCTTATCTGCCGCATAGACGCGTGGAAGATGCCTATAAACATAACGCAAGAGTCGAACGAGCGTGCGAAGCGCAGCGCGGCGGCGGCGGCGGGCGGGCGGCGCGCCAAGCGCGCGCGGCTGTCCCCCTCGTGCGCGCCCCCGCCCCCGCCCCCGCACGCGCCCCCGCCCCCGCCCCCGCCGCTGCACCTCGCGCCCCGCGTGCTCTTCTCCGCCGTGCCCCCGCCGGAACACACCAGGCTCGCGGCCATAGTCAGGTGAGCGACTAATAATGATATCATTCCACCCAACTCAGGGTACGAGAAAGTTAGATTAAGCATATCCTATTTAAGTTACGCTTTGTTTTAGGTTAGTGAGTAGTTTTTAGTCTATCAGTTATCCACTTGCGTTTATGGTCCTTCGAGCTTTTATTATGATGAATTCAAAATATTATAATTACAGTTCGACAGTCCCAACTGTAATTATAATATTTTGAATATTATATATTGATATTTATATTATTATATATTGAATATAAGGTACTTGTTTTAAATTTAAAACACTTTTCTTAATATAATCAACATCGATGTTTAAATGAATATTAATATATTTTCTCATATCTGTAGACAACTGGGCGGGCTCGTCGTTACATCAGCAGCGGAGGCGACACATCTAGTAATGGAAAAACTAGTCAGAACCAGTAAACTAGTAGCGTGTCTAGTGACCGCTAAACACTTAGTCTCAACAGAATGGCTGATAGACAGCCAACGTATCAACAAATTCGCCGACGAAGCATTACACGAGTTACGCGACGAAGCGTTCAACAAAATGTTCAACTGCGATATATCGGAAGTGCTTCTATCCGGGGAACAGAGAAAGAAACTGTTCGACGGTATCACCTTCTTCCTCACACCTTGCGTAAAACCTTCACGGTCCGTTTTAACCGAAATGATCGAACTCTGCGGAGGTAAAGTTGAGAAGAATCGACGCTCATACGTTTCTATACAGGAGATGCATAATCAGAGACCTTATAGTTACTTAGTCCTTACAGTGCCTAACGATTTACATCTAGTTTATTACCTTTTACAATCTGAGAAAACGTTGAATGTCGTGTGCAGTACAGAGGTGGTGCTATCGGCTATAATGCGACAGAAATTGGACGTGGAAGAATTTTTAGTGAAGATAGATTAAATTTTTTATGTGTATATAAATTAAGAGTATATTTTTCGTGAATGAATTTTATGGATTCGGATTTTTCAAATGAAATATTGTATTATTATTCGGAATATCTTTTTAAATGGTGTATATATTTTAAGTGTAAACCTTGAAGTATTTAATATAAAATGAACTTTAGGATGGGTGTAAATTTGACGGAAAATCCGTTATGCGCCTCTCGTGCCGACAATCACACGATGCATTTTTCCGTTAAATATACACAGACCCTATCGCAAGAAAATTTTATTAACATAAGTAAAGTATATGAACGGGCATTGACTATACAAAAGATTTGTTAGGACAAAACATACACGTGGTCAATATCGACAGGGATGAAATTATATTGATTTAGTGATGCACGAACGAGACGGCAGATATTAATGATGTGCAATAGTTTTAGATTTATTTCGTTTTATCTGATTCACATTTTTAGTGCTTTTTCCTTTTTCCACTAACGCATTAGCAGTTTCTCTCGTGCATTCACAAAAATAGACTCCAATGTCAATGATTTTGTTTGTAACTAGTTGTATTCTTTTATAAAACGTTTATGATTATGAATGTATTATAATGCTTTTATCTCTAATATATGTTATATTCAGTGTATTTTTGATTCGTCTTCAGCCGAATTCTTCCGCAAAATCAAGTTTATTAGACACTTTGCAAGGGACAAATATTTTTTACTAAGGCCCGTCCATATACAAATTACATAGTCAACGGTAAGCATCTGTACTGATGTACTTTATTTTTTATTAAGATGAAGATGAACTAAAACATAGATATGCAAATCTCTGAAGATTCTCGCGTTCAGGTGTCGATTGGGTTCAATCTGAAAAACAACTATCCTGCTACTGCTGAGACGCCGGCCATAGGGAAAATGAGTGTCGTCACACGGACCCACTGCGGATTGTTGGGTGTTAACGTAGGCACTCTATGCAGTTGTGACCAACGGCTTAACGTGTCTTCCGGAGGATTTAGAAAAATGCGATTTTTTTTCTAACATAAACTATGTGGTTTTTTTAGATCAATATTATAAATTACAGTCTGAACAGAGTTTTAGTTATTACATATCGTATTCAGCATGATCGATATTTTGTTATTTACTTGTATTTTTGTTAATGCTGCATCTTTTAATAACAATTTTATGGTATTTTACAATTTTCTGTTAATATTTAGTTTATGATGTCAATTGTCGATTTCTGTATATGTTTCCCTTAAATTAGTTAAGTGCCTACGGTGATATGATTCATGAAATATTTTGGATTCTGGTATTTTTTATGGGATAAAACGTATCTCATTGTTATCACGGGTTTTGTTTTTAACTCCCACGAATATTTATTTTAGAATCTCTTATTGTTCGATTATAATTTTGAATTGTTTCATGAATTATTGATTCTGTGTTTTATATGTATTTTAAGAGCCAAATGGCGTAATGAATTTCCATAATATTATTATAATTGAGAAACAAATGTATTATACTGTTATTGTAAATAGAAGACCTTATTTATGAAACGGTCTGGACCATGTAAAAAAGAAAGTATTATACGAGATGTTTCTTATTGTTTTTGTTTTATTTCTTGGATATTATCACCCGTATCTATTAGTCGAGATAAGTAATTCTAATAGTATCACATTATCTCAATTATCTACTTGAGATAATGTGATACCTTATGCAAATATTTCTGGAAAAAATATCTTCTCAAGATATGACATAATAGGTCTTTACCTGTGAAATCGCCGTTCTGCCGTACTGGCCATTTGAAATAAATAAAAAAGTTTTTTGGCTGATTCTAATTTCAAATTAAATTTATTTTAAAAATATGGATTTCTTTTTCCTAAGATCGTAATTTGTTGAATAGTTAGTGTTTTGTTTTCAACATATTCGAACATTTTTCGTCGTCATGGATAAGTTAAAAACTCGAGTAATTATGGTGTACGAGTACCGACGTGGCAACAAAGCGGCACGCAACATTAAAAAAATACGCTTCATCTCACGAAAAATGGCAATTTCATAGGGTAAAGACCTAATATTATCAAGTAATTACTTCTCTCGACTATAGATACGAGAGTAACACAATATTTATTTAATTTAATCTTAATTGCCTAGTGAAATAGACAAATGGCGGACTTAATGCCAAAGAGGCATTCTCTACCAGTTAACCAGTAAATTTAGTACAATACTTAAAGTGGCGATTGGCGACAATACGCTATTGATATCTCTGCATAAGAACTATATCTAAATTTACATAAAATACATACAATAATAAACATACATATACATACATAAATAAATGCATATATATAGCTATAACACATAGTACGAAAAAGGTGTCAGATCAAGAAATTTTGTTTGAAGCATAATAGATTAGCAAATAACAATACGTATTAAGATATAACGTAATATTTATTTAATTCCATATAGCATGATTTTATAACAGTATCGGAAACCACAAACATATCCATTCGCATCGTTAATATAAATCTTAATACATTCATAGATTCGCTCTCAAGTCTTAACTATGGAATTTACAATCGTATAAATTCTATTGATACATAACTTACGCAACAATACTTTTCAACATATATACTTCGGAATGAGATTATGATTTGATAATCGATTCGTACGCTTGGAATATGCAAGTGGCGACTTCTACCGTTCGCGATTTTAAACTGAGCGTGGCTTCAGGGTTGCCAGGTTGAAGTTTGAGTTCTAGGAGCACCCAAATATTGTTGGTCAATTTCAGTGATTGGTAAAGCATATCTTGGCCTTCTACGTTTCGTTTGGCGATAGTGAATATGTTGTTTAGGGTCATCTTATGCGCGATTGAGTCAGCTGAGCCGACTACGCCCGAAAGTGAGTGTTGTACTTCGTTGGCGGCCGGTATTTCCTTCCACGTGGTGAGGAACACGCGTTTGTCTAGTTGTCCGTCTTCGGTGAACAGTATGTGCGCTGGCATCAGACACGCGAAGTAGAACACATCCACGTTGTTCTTTATCGCCACCTGTAAATATAAATACATTTTACGGTTATTTTTTTGTATTGTGTCAGTTTTTTCATAAGTACTTTGTCTTCTTAAACTTCTTTCTTTATTAGTGACTATTTTTGGAAAAATCCTATTAAGGGTTCATAGAAAAAATATAACACATTTTTTGTTACGTTTTCGGTTCAAAACACTACCAGCACCCCTATTACTTCCGGCACATTTGCTGCTATTTGGTTTTAGAGACTAGTAGGGGAACCATGTTCCGTTCGTTATACGGAAACCATATAATAGTCGAGGTCGAGTCGAGGACTATTTTTTTTATGTCGTTACCGGTCAAAGCACTACTTTCTACATGTGCTACCCTCTGGTTTAAACGGGCAAGGATGACATTTGTGTCACGAAAACCTACCGTCATTATAATGTCGTTTTTCGTGACGAAGTGAATAAAATTAACCTCCTCTCGCGATAGAGCAACGGGACAGCGAAGTGAATAATTTTAAATTATTGTAATTTTCAACGTAAATAAATAATTATTATATTTGATCAAATTCGCATTCACAATACTATACTGAAACGTTTATGAGAATGCGCTCTGTAGACTGTAGTACCGAAAAAGTAACAAGTGCTTGAAAGATTCATGGCCCGAGTGGGTTTTTAAGCATTTTTCATTCACATAATATTTTTTAAAGGGGGATTTTATTTGAATTGAGAGGGACACTAATGATAATTGCGTATATAATGACCTGTAAATTGTTGAGTGGGTCCATCCGTTGCACAGGTCCGGTGGTGGCTAGAGCCAGCGTGGCGTCCGCGCTGCCCCCCGCCGGCAACGCGCCCACCGACAGCCCCCCCACGGGGTACACACCGAAACTGGCACATATAATAAACATATTGACCGCAAAACCAAAATTGCTCTTCAGAGCAGAAAAACTTTTATTTTTAATAAAATAAAATGTTCCTTACACCCTGTTGCATTAACGTCCATTAAAATTATCATTAGTTTAAAACGACATTACCGATACAAATTTAACATCCATTAGAGCTTAAAAGCGTCATTAAACTAACCATTAGTCTATTTATTGTGTTAATAATGTTTTTTTTTGAAAGGTATAAAGATTTTCTCCTCTAAATATCCATTTTGGTTTTGCAGGTTACTACATGTTTTCTCTCCAGTGTCAATATAAATTACAAGAATTTTAATATAATTTGTATCCTGAAAATTGTATCTTATTTGTCTCATGTTTGTACCAGAATAAATAATTCATTCATTCATTCAAATTAAATTCAATATTAATTACCGAACTGGCTCTGCCAGAATATCAGCGTTAATGTGGTACTTTCTGTGGCGCGTCAACACCAGTCGAGGTTGATCTCTGTTTCTTTTTATATGTCATTATGTACCTTACTGTTTCTTTTATGTCTTTATTGTGCTTTATGTGTTTTTAATAATGTACTATTGTTTGTACCTTTATGAGATCAATACATGTTTCTTCTTCTATTTTAAACAACATCACATACATTGCTCAGGTTCCAAGATGAGTAGCTAAAGCCCCCGTATTATGGAGTATCTGAGACAACGAAGGTACCACAACAACCAGAAACGAGACAATATAGAAAAGATAATTTTCTACATTGACCCGACCGGGAATCGAACCCGAAACCTCGAAGATAGCGCCGCCTTTGATCCGAAGCGCGAATCACTCGGCCACGGAGGCCGTTACACCCTTGTAATTAATTAAGAATGCTATATTATTTTATCTATGATCACTGACCTGTTCTTGTTGAGTTGTATAGCGAACCCGCTCATAACCTGCATGGCTTTGTTTGTGAACGTCATCTCCATACGCGGTTGACCATTCTGACGACTGAATGTGCCCCAGATCTCCAAGCCTGAGGAAAATATCCAACATTAAGCTACTTTGAACGTTCAAATCGCGAACTGTCATCCCTTAAAAACATCATACTAACTAGGCAATCGTATATATATCGTATATGTATATATAAGTTATATGCTATTCAATTGTACGATTTTTTTAATAAAGCGCCATCTGTATATCGTATTGAGTACTAAAAACCACAGACTACTTACCAACAAAAAAGAAAGAGTTGTTTTAACACTGCCTTCTGATCCCTTTAGTACCCAAGACGTAAATAAAAAAAGTATCTTGTTTACTTTTGTGACGAACGTTTCAGTGGTTAGAGCGACACCTACAACAGAATTCGCATCAACCGTCTCGTAGTTCATAGAGTGATGTTACCTTTCCCTTTATCAGCGGGCAGCCAACATTGTTTCGGTGGTATGTGTGAGGCGGGCGTGACGGGAACACCGAAGATATCTCCCAACAATCCTGTCGTGTTAGACGCGGCCGCTTCCGGAGCACCACCGCCACCGCCGCCTAACTGTATCCGACAAGGGAATCGTCAACATGTATTTATTTAATCATTAGGCTTTTAATGTCAAGGAACGGGCTATAAACCGGACCCTCTTTGCAGGATACCGGGTTCCTCCTATCCGCGTGAGGTGAACCGTAACGGTTTAACCAGGTGTTAGCAACCTGGTTAATGACCTTTACCAGGTGTCAGCAACCTGGTTAATGAATTTAATTGCAATTCAACAATATTCTTCACACCTTCTCTAAAATAGCAAGCCCATGATTTTTATCGTGATTTGTGTTAGTATAATATACAGTGTAACACCAGTATCTAAAGTCGAGTAAAACTAAATTAATTAAACAATAATATTTCTAACAAATAAACAAGAATTTGAATGCAATAAGAATTCTCGTCTATTGGTTAAAATATGTACTTAAGTTATGCCATTTTCTCAAGTAATTAATTCTCTTGATTATAGGTAAGAGTGTAAGAGGTCGCAACAAAAATGTTCAATAGCTTTCTAAAGGTTGATATTTCAGTATGTAGAAGTATTTAGGATCACTGTACCTGTACCCTCGTACTATTTAAAGCATTTTACGTTAAAGTATACATAAATATTCTACTATTTTTAAGATAAATATCGATATAGAATTATAAAGAAGAATAATAATTTGCTCATCATTTCTTTTTCTTTGCATTTTGTTTTGAGTTTCTATTTTCTTACGAGTTAATAATGATTTTTTATTGTTATATATATTTATAATTCAAAAATGTTAAACTCACGAGTACATCTAGTCCGCCGGCGAGCAGGTCCAGGTTCGATGAGGGCGCGGCCGCGGGCGGAGGCCCACCAATGTCCATAGAGAGCAAATCACCGATCAGAGACTCCTGTGTAACAGATATGTCATCATTATATTCAATCTTACTAATATGATAAATGTAAAAGTTTATGGGGATCGATGTATGTTTGTCTGTTATTCTTTCACGCAGAGAATACTGAACGGATTTTCATGAAATTTAGTATACGAATGTTTCTAAGCTTGAATTATTTCAGGTTATTTATAGGGTCCCTGTGTACCAATATAGGCGAAGCCGATGACGTAAAGCTAGTAAGTAATAAAAGTTGTTCTAATATTGTAATTGAAAATGACTTCATAATCTTAGTAGTTATACTTGGGGTAGTGGTTATATCTGGTCAGCAATTCCGTAAACCACTTAACCTTTAATTGGTATTACCGTTTAATGGCATAAGTGAAGTGATTTTCAAAATTACATAGGGTTACAATATCTGTGACATGTATGGAACAATCTTTTTTTTGTATTATTATACAAAAAAAATCTACACTAACGGCCGGTGTTGACGTCAGCTTTGCCAGCCTCTTTTGATAAGTGTTTTTATAATTTTTTGTTTGAATCTATTATGACTTTGTCATTTTTTGTTTATTGTTGCTGTCTGTGTATTTTCGCTTTTATACGTTTTTTAAATATATCTCTTTCAGTTGCTAATTTATCGTTTTTATTAATAAACTACTAATTGAAAAAAGTAAAAAAATATCTATTGATTTTTCTCAATAACTTAAGTTTTTAGCTTTTCACAAGGCAAAACGTCCTACCTGGCCGGGTAGTGACTATACTACTCGGTCGGGTAGTTACTATACCAGGTTAGGTAGTGACAATACCTAGTCGGGTAGTTACTCACTGTACCTAGTCGGGTAATGACTATACCTGGCCGGGTAGTGACTATACCTGACCGGGTAGTGACTGTGCCTGCCCGGGTGGGTAGTGACTATACCTGGCCGGGTGGGTAGTGACTATATCTGGCCGGGTGGGTAGTGACTATACCTGGCCGGGTGGGTAGTGATTATACCTGGCCGGGTGGGCAGTGACTATACCTGGCCGGGTGGGTAGTGACTATACCTGGCCGGGTGGGTAGTGACTATACCTGGCCGGGTGGGCAGTGACTATACCTGGCCGGGTGGGCAGTGACTATACCTGGCCGGGTGGGCAGTGACTATACCTGGCCGGGTGGGTAGTGACTATACCTGGCCGGGTGGGTAGTGACTATACCTGGCCGGATGGGTAGTAACTATACCTGGCCGGGTGGGTAGTGACAATACCTAGCCGGGTGGGTAGTGACTATACCTGGCCGGATGGGTAGTAACTATACCTGGCCGGGTGGGTAGTGACTATACCTGGCCGGATGGGTAGTGACTATACCTGGTTGGGTATGACGGTGGGCTGCGCGGCGGCGGGAGGCTCCTCGGCGGCGGCCCCGCGCGACGGCAGCGACTTGCGCACGCCCGCGCCGCGACCTTACGCAACACAACACAACACCTTACTTGTGTTTATCAACAATATATATACAGTATAATGAAACAAGACAAGTGCCGCGACCCGCGAACGTTGTTGTTAAGAAACTCTTGCAAGGGTCGGTCACTGGATCGATTCAAATAAAATTTGTTATATAAAAAAGTAGTATTCTTTTATCTTTTACAGTAAAAATATTAAAATAATGAGACCGGAATTTATATATTTTATGTTTTTATTAGTATTTACATTATGGTTAATAATATTGAAAATGTCACGATTAATAATAAAAAAAAAGTTCCTTCTTGTTAGATAAAAAATCTGCTGAACGGGTTGTAATTAAAAAATACTACTCTATTCAAATTGTTTTTAATAAGTTTATGAAGTGATGCGACAGATCACTTCATCTAATAGCACTACCTCCAGATCAACCTCCTCGAAAATCTAATAAAGTGTCTATGGTAAATCTGTGTCCACAAAGAAGTTTATCAAAGCAAAATATGTCATAAGTATATGATAATTAAAGTACCTTCTACGAATGCAGTAGGTGGTTTATGGTAAACGGATGCAAGTGAGCTGATGTGACAGATCAGTTCGTCCAGTAGAGTGGGCTCCAGGAGATCTGTCTCCTCGGAGATGAGAGGTTTATCAGCGAGCACTACTTCCTTAGCGGCCGCCGGATCAGTGGATAATAATCTCCAATATATGAATCCACGATCCCTGCACACAACCAAATACTCGAAATTAAAATAATATATATTTAATATCAATAATACACGTAATTAAATGTTTTTTTCTTTTTTATTCATGGCCTAACTGCGTTTACACAATTCCGCCAATGTCACGTTTCTGGTCTTTACACGTAAAGAAACAATAATAGAAATACTTATGACAATTTTGAATTTGAGGTAATAGATTAAACAATAAAAAAGGCTCTGAGCGGCTCTGATCTGACTAATTACATTGTTAAGCGATGCTAAATCAGACGCAATATATGATAATAAATTAAGAAACGTGTGACTTTATTGTAAGCGTAAATTATAACCCACGGTGAATTTTCTCGTAGGTGAAAGAATCTTTTAAATCGATCCACAAGTTTCGGAGCCTATTCAATGTAAAAACACAACTTCAATCTTGAATTGGTGATAACGTTTTATCGCATAAGTGAAGTGAGTTTCGAATCGACATAAGAATAGAATATCTGAGACACGTGTATCCAATCAATTAGGTTTTGTATTTTTACATTACAATTGGAATCTATAGAATTTCTACACTAAACGACGTAAATTCGGACACACTAGAGAATTCCAATACAGGATTATTACAGAATTGCAGGGCTGAAGAAAATGAAAAATGAATTATTTGAAATAAAAATTAGTTCCCGAAATTAAACTAATGTCGCTACGGTACGTTCTTTATTTCTCCATGACAACATTTCCGGTTTTCTTTCATGTATAAAAGTAAATTAGTTTTTGAAACTCAATAAAAATCTCATATTTGTACTTTTTCGTATTTGTATTGATATTTAAATTTCGAACTTTGCAAATTTCAGTTTTTTAATATGTTAGTTAAAAGGAATGGAAATGACGGTCTTTGCTCCAATCGTTTCCTGCAAAAATCAACTTTTGCTAGAGTCGCCATCTAGTGGAAGTGCTTTTTTAGTGCTTTCTTTTTTTTAAATACTTCCTCATTGCCGTGTGTCACCTGAGATCTGGATTGTCAGAGTCCTGTGTAGCGAGACTGAGCACGTGTTGCACCAGTTCCTGCGTGTCTGCGGGACGTTTCAGGAACAGTTTCACTACTGCAGTCAACAGCTGCAACTGGACCTGTGCACCGAGCAAGGGCTATTAACACATGTAAACTTCAAAATGTGCTGCGGCCAGACCTTGCTCATGGATGGAGTCTCGCGGGCCCAATGTGGATTGGTGGGTGTTATATGACTGCAGATGCCGAGACCAACAGCCTAACGTGCCTTCGCCGAGGCTTGACGGAGCAATACGACATACGAAATGTTTGGTCACCCATCCTATGACAGGCCTTTGTACCAACGGTGGTTGGCACTATAAGGTCTAATAACTCCTGAGAAACAAAATTTTTCGCCGTTTGTACATGTGAATTTATGTGCGGGACTTGGTGTAGTGACTGGATGTAGAAGTTGCTAGATATCATAGTTTCAACGTCGTAGCGTTGGACTTCCGCAAAATAACGCCTGATTCAATTGGACATGGACGTTTGTGTAACTGGTTTTTTGCACTTACTTGAGCATTCTCGTCGTGGAAACCTTCCAGGAACGAGTCGAGCAATTCGTCAGCATTGTCAATTCGTTCAGCGTATTCACCCACGATCCATACCTGATGACAAGTTATAATTCTTAGCAATTTATTTTTCGATACTTGAAAAAAAAGAAACGTGATTTTAATTATTTATTAATTATGAAACATTATAAGAATGAATTCGATTTTATATCTTTTTAAGTATCTTTAAGTGTTTGAAAAAAATATGTATATGTGTTCCGCTGTAAACAAGGAACCCTTATGGTTTCGCCGTAAATAATAATCACAAAAAACACAAGTATTTGGTATCTAATTTATCTATGAAGATTTTTTTGCACCTTTATAATAATTTTAATTTCAGTTTTTTTTTAATATCAATAATACTATTTTTTTTATAATAATAATATACTACTCACCATAGAGGCCCTAGCTTCTGGTTCATCGAGTGTATCCAAATTCTCGCATAGTGTGCTGATGATGCTCTCGTACTTGTTAGGATACTTGCGGAATATATCCTTTATCACAACAATGGCTTCCTGCACTACATAATTCACCTTAGTCTGGATCAGTTCTAGGAGAGTTGATACACAACGTTCAGCTGACGGTTCCACCTATGCAACAAATGGTTAAACCATATTACATTGCATGAGAAGGGTGGGAGAAATCTAAAATTTATGACGTCACATTTCAAAATAATGTTTTTTTATTTATATTTTTCTTAGAGTAAAATAACTTAAATCGTACTAGGGGGGGTATCTCACAAATGTGACCCAGCGAAGTAACGAAGTGTGTGATATTATGTATGTAAGTTTATATTGTAATGAAATTTCTCACCATTCCTCCTATTATTACTCTTTCAAGATAATGCACTAATATATTTAGTTAATATGAAAATATTTAAACAGAGGAGACCAAAATGAAACTCTTTTCTTTAGTTAGTTATACAATATGCAATATAACAAAAATTTACCTTGCTAAAAGTCTTAAATGAGCAATTTTAAACCTCTTATGTAATCTAGGCTAAGTCCAAACGTCTTATAAATCTTAACAGTCTCATCAAACATCATTATTCCAACATGAATTTATGCACTTTATGTAACTTCAGTAGATAAAGGATTATTAAGTAAGTAAATATTTCTTTATAAATTAATATAATTTCTAGGCTCCCCACTTTACCCCAAATGATAACTAAAAGTAAACTCAATAACAGGAAACTCACCTACGATATATAAATTTCTCTGCTTCGCTAACTCTAGTCGACGTAAGGCTCTATACTATAATTAATAATATCACTTTACTTTTAAAATTAAATATTAGTTGGTATATCTCCTAGAGTGCCAATATAATTTCGCAATACCAAACACATAACTAACAGATCTGTCAAAATAATAAGAAGCGACAAACTAACTCTTATCACAACTCCATAAAATATAAATTTACCTTAATTGCACACCTTCCAATAGCCCTGACGGCCTTTCTGACGAAGTCCACGTCCACTTCAGTGGCGTACTCCTTCAGTTCCCCGAGTACTTGAGCGATGTTCGCTTGTGACGCGAGCCTGATCATTATGTCCAGTTTCTCTAGCTTCACGTAGATAGGATCGTTATACTTCACGAAGAACACCTGATTAAATTGGAATAGAAAATTTAATATCTATTAAGAAAATCCACATAAATATTAATTCACATAATTTGTGATTTTTTTTACTGTCTAACTTACATGGTACAAAACATTATGTCACTGTAAATATCGAACAATTAAATTGGAGATGGACAGGTCACATGGTACGAGGAATAGAGGGAAGGAGTCACTGTATGGTACCCAAAAAATGGAAAAAGACAGAGCGAGAGAAGAGGTAGATAGAGCAAGAGGTGGGCTGATGAATTCAAACCAATCGCTGGAGTAGAATAGCAAAGACAGAAGTGAGTGGAAGAGGCCGAAGGAAGCCTTTGCAAATGGCAAGCAGAAAATCACCAATAAGTTTTAAGTTCAAATTTGATAAAACGTATTTATAATAGGGCAGTTTAGGTAGTAAAAAATAAGTCACGAAATTGCTATAAAGAACTTAAAAGTCGTGATTCCTTGTCTTTGTGTCACGTGACTTGAAACACGACCCGCCATTGTGTAACGTCACTGTGGCGACTGCTGTCAGATTAATCATTAAGATATGCCTATTAATTATAAATTAAATTCCTAGATGTTGCTGTTCTTAGCTTATTTCTATCTTTATATTTCGTAATTGATTGACATCTTTTAATCTTTTACGCTATGCATCTGTACTGTGTACATATCACAATGACGTCATGAATATAAAGGACAGCCTTTTAGCAACTATAAAATAAAATCCATTTAATTCTAAAGCAAGGAAACGTGTTAATTTTTCCGAAATATTCTGAAATAAAAGGCTATTATAATCATTATTATATATAAGCTTTAAGGTATAATATTACCTTCATCTCGTGTTTGAGTATGTCCGGCCGCTTCTGCACGACCAGGTTGATGTTCCTGAGGGCCACGTACTGCACCTCGGGCTCGGCGCTGAGCAGCGTGACGAGCGGCGGCGCGAGCTTGCGCGACAGCGTGCTCACCAGCTCGCCGTCGCCGCTCACCATCTCCATCAGCTTCATCAGCACCTGCCACCAGTTGCCAGGACGTTCATTCAATCTATCGACCACTTTGGAATCTATCGACATTTGGACGCGTGTCATTTCCTGTTGACAAACTCTAACGGGCCAACCGTAAATTACAGCATGCGTTAGGATCACAGTGTGAGATTAGAGCTCTTCGACTACCCCCATTGATATATCCTCCCCCTAGGGTCCAAAGGTCTGATTATGCCTACACATCCCTGTGTCCAAAAACCAACAAAAATCTAACTTATAAACCGACTAGCTGTTCTCCCGCGACTTAGCATGTACGCTGTAACTTCCCATGTATGAAAGAATTTTTAAAATCGTTACTATAGTTTTAGAGCTTATTCGTGTAGAAAAACGTATTTCAAGTAGTTTTACCTAAATTAAATTTATTAATAACTACTGTGTACATAAGGTTATATCTTACTACTATATCTATATCTTACTAAGGAAACTTTGCAATCTGATTATGATTGACCACTAGTAAAATACAGTATTCAAGAATGCATCATCAGACAATTGATCGTTTTCAAGGCAATTTATTAGCAAAAACTTCCTAAACTAAAAATGCTAAGTAAGTAATCCATTAACCTTGACGGCAGACAAGACCACGGCAGCGTTAGCGTGAGCCAGCCTGGGCGTGATACGTTCGCATATGGAGTGAGCCTCGCGCGCGTCACGCGGCGAGTAGTTGGACAACGCGTCCAGTATGAACACCTGCCCCCACTCCGTACACTCGTTTAATGCGGTCAGGAGCTTATTTATGGTCGGTGCGTTCATTTCTAATGAACAATTATTAAAAAAAAATATTATATATCAAAACCATTTTTAAGAAAACGGTCAAGTCTGTCGAGTGTTTTAAACCGTACCATGAATGTTATTCATTTTATTTAATCTAACATGAAATGGAGTATTTATTTCTAAAACATCAATATTTGTCATATAAGTGCTATGACGTCATGCGTTGCAAACACTAATACATACAAAAAATCAATGTGGAGTTAAAACAGTTTCAGTGTAGAGATAATGTTATACACTCTCATTCATGTTTATTATCATGTAAAATATAATAATAAAATAACTTTTGTGTGTCACTTTTAAATAATAAGAACAATACTTATTTTATGATATACTATTTCATCAAAAACACTATTCTTAAATTTTCAAACTATGTAAAAATTTACTATGGAAACTATATGCAGCAGTTAAAAAGTTATTTAAAAAACTTACTAACCAACTAATGGATGTCCTGACACACTAGCTTCATTGATTTCAGACAGAGCTGCCACTGCATTGGCTACTACCATTGGATTTGAATCGCTTAACAAATCTTTCAATTGATCTAAGAAACCCTGCAAACAAGTATTTCGAAACTATATACATATCCTAACACCTTACTCGTATTAAAATAAATAATATGAATACAACTCATACCTGATCTTCAACCATGCTCGATGATATATCATACAGCTTAGCAACACACACGGCCGCCGTCTTCCTCACATAAGGGTCCTCATCCTTCAAACACTTACGCAGAGGTTCGCATAAGTACTCCGTGATCTTGTCCACCCGAATGCAACCCATGGTCCGTACAGCCAGCGCTCTGATCAACGGGTTGGAATCCTCGCAGTCCTGGAGCGTTCAACGTGGTTTGCATTCGGTATCGAGTATAAAAAGAAAGAGAAGCAATACATCAATCATACTGAAGCAATTTGCACTAAAAGCAGGCAACAGACCAGGAAGTTAGGAAACCTGGGGTACTACAACACAAATATACGTAAAAAGATATATACACTTCTGATTATTACTTCTACTTCAAGGTATATATTTAAGATATTTGATCAATTTTGCATTCATTGTACAATGTGTAAATAAACCACCAGTCCTGGTCATCTTTGAGTGATCTCAAGCATTTGTAACTACTGATATTTTTAGCATTTTTCTTTAAGATCAGTATATATTTTCTTACATATACCTACGTAAGAATAGGTAATTTAAAATGGTTTCAGGGGCATTCAAGATTTCATAAATTTCTGGTCTAAATTATTAGTAGAAACTTGCTAATTACTTCACAATAAACTGTACTGAAATCTTTTTTTTTTATTTTAGCAAATATAATAACAGATTAGTCAGCTTCTACTGCATAAAGTAATTATAATGATTTTTATAGTCTGTGTGCTTCTATTCTGAATATAAATGAGCTATGAATATTTATTTATAATTTTTTTTTATACATATATTAATACAATAATACTTTTTAATAATTGGAAGTTTATAATAGTGTAGATTTACACATCTGTATTGTGCTAATGGTATTATTTTTACAGCAATGTGATCTTTTATATCATGCAATTTCACCTAATTAGTATTATCATGCAGGATTTTACTTTACTTTGGTATTTTTTATTAAATTAATTAATGTTTCTTTTACACTGTGCTATTAAGTATTACCTAGAAAGTGTTTATCGGATTTGTCTTGGTTAAATGTGTAAATCTACAGTTGGATGAGCTGATTTGGTTTTTCTGGATCATCATTTACCTTAACGAGCTGGTATGTTGGTAGATCCTTCCAGCCATCATTATATGGTACAGTAGACATTAGAACGATAAAAAAAGACAAGTCACACACACACAAATACTACACTACCTATTTATTTGATTTGAAATACTCCAAAGTTATTATGTTATCATTAATATAGATCTTTCTTTGTAAAATTTTAAATTTACTACAAAATATAATAACCTCCACCCACCTAAATGTTAATAGCTGTATGAAGACATGCATAATTCATTTAAATATTGTTTAAAAAAAGTTTTATAAAAAAATATTGAGTTATTCAGTGCACAAAATAATTTCAAAAAGGTAACTTGAACTTTTACAACACACTTTTGATAAAAAATCAGGCATTGAAATAGTGAAACTCAACAAAATTGAAAGTATAATTTCTGCACTATATAACCCTCAAAGCTTCATCAAATAATAAGTGTTTTTTTACTGCCATTAACAATACATACCTTAACAAAAGTGTTGACAGCCATAATGGCCATGTCCGGTTGTGATTTAGCATAATTCATTAAATATAAGTAAACTAACTTCTTCAGCTCAAGATTATCTGTCTGCATGCAATTCACAACATCAGGAAACAGGGCTGACACATCTTTTCCAACAGTCATAGAAGCAATGACCTAATAAAAATGTAATACTTATGTAACTTATACAATAACAATACTTTTTATAAAATGGTCTATTATATATGTAGATTAAGGAACCAATCTTTTAACACTATAAAATTTTAATCAATAAAAATTATAAAGTGAATCTGTAGGACAATGAGTTATATTAGCAAATGTATAATGCTTTTAACATAAAGTATATTTATTTAATTAATTCAATTTAGATAAAGCTATGACTAAGACAGGTAAATATATTCATACTTTTTTTACAGCTTCCTTTTTCTTCTCTTTTTTATCACTGTTCAGCTCAGACTTTAGTTCAAAAATCTCCCCTTTCTTGGTGGTAGTGAAATACTTGGAATCAGTCATCTTGGACTCCTCAACCAAGTTTTAATCTTAATATATCTTTACTATTGTATGAATTATCGGTTTTCCTGCGCCCTACCTGGAAAATCGATAGACCGAAAGTTTGACAGCAGGTAATAACTTTGCTATTACTAGATAATTAAAACAGTGTTCTTTTAGTAACTCTAATTATTAAAGAGGGTTTTAAAAATTAAATAAATAAAAATGTTTTCTATTCTAATATCGCAAATTAACAAAGTTTAAATTTTCGAAAAATATCGACTCACTTTTTCTTTTGACACGAACAAGGGGCGTAAATAGTGTTGCTATATATTTTTTCGCTATACCCGCGTATCTGCGATATATTGCGAAAGATCAATCGTTTGATTTGGATTCAGCCAATCAATTCTAGAAGTTACTGCTGAAATAACTGATAAATTTATTATAAAACTTAGATACACATTTAAAAAACTTTTTTTAGTAATGCAGGGGAAATGCACCTCAAGCCTTGAACCAGTACTATCCAACGACCCTGTCCTTAGGAGGATAGATTGAAGCGTGATTGAAGCTTACCTGATAAAATCCGCTGCGGCATACCATCGGTGAAGGGGAAGGTTCCAGGATCCAGCAAGGAGCTCGCCAGATACACATTGAAAAACCTACGGTGAAAATATGACTTTATTTTTATCTGAATCCATAATCAACATACATAAAAAATATTAAGGGAATAGACAAGATTTTTTTTTGGTCGAATGCAAATAACTGTTTTACTGTTAGAAAATAACAATAACAAAAGCGATAAATCACCAGTTTTGGTGGAATATTCACGAAGTTGGCAATACAAAGCAGTTTTTTTATTATGACGTTTTACCAGGTAAAGAAATTTCATTCATTCAGCCTTAGAATTTGGATGTAAAATGTTTTTTAGAATTCGTACCATCGTCCAGCGCAATGTCATTTGTCTGTACTGTGGCCTGCAAAGATTTTTCTGAATTCAGAATATTTTGTAGGGGTTTTTTATGCAATCCTACTAATATAATAAATGTGAGTTTCTTTGTTTGGATGTTTGTCCGTCAACCACCTCGATACTATTGAACGGATTTTGATGAAATTTGGTATACAGATAGGGTATTAGCTAACTTAGATAATAGGATACTTTTTATCCCACTAAAAGATTCCCTTTCGAAAAACTAAGCTATTCTCTTACTTTACAGATTTGTATTAAGATCTGTATCTAGCTTTCTATATCTACTTCTTAATTAACTCTTTGTTGGTTTGAGTCTGTTCAGCTACCTAAAAGAGTACCTAAATAGGGTGTTTCACTAAATAATCTTTTTCTAAATCCATAATTTATCATTCTTAACAGCTTAACAGTGGTTATTTCGACTTATCGGAAGTGATTTGGTTGAGGTTTTAATTTAAAACTCTTTTTTTATTCCAGCTTACTAAATTGATTTTCTCCCTTGACACATCCGCTATGGCTAAAGAGTAAATGTATTTGTCATATACGAGTTTCTCTTATATAAGTCAGTTATATTATAATAAATGTAATTTATTAGGAAATCTGGAGTTAAAATTACAAATATCTTTTTTGTTACATACAGTTCTAAGTCAAATGAACACTACACTAAACACTAATTTTATAAACACAGTGGCGTCATCTAGCGACAACAGGTAATTGTAGCATTTTATTATTTAGCCAGATTAACAATTCCCCATTAAATTATTACTTATTCTTCAAAACAAAAAATTAAACCTACTTTGATTGATAAAAATCAGAATAAAATAACGACTACAAACATAAGAAAAATCAAAATCACGTTTTAAAAGAACAAAAGCGTCATCTAGTGCTCAGTAGACGCAGTTAAATGTAACATTTTCGTATACTTAGCCAATATAACATATGCATTTAATATTATCAACAAAGATTGTAACGATTAAAATTATTCATTTAATAATGACAAATTGAATTAGGAAGTATTAAAAAAAAGCGCTAAAAAAGCACCTCTACTAGATGGCGGCTCTAGCAAAAGTTTATTTTGCAGGAAACGAATGGACTAAAGACAGTCATTTTCGTTCCTTTTAATTAACATATTAAAAAACTGAAATCGGGAAAGTTCGAAACTTAGATATCAATACAAATAAGAAAAAGTACAAATAGAATATGAGTTGTTTATTGAGTTTTGAAAACTAATTTACTTTTAAATTCGAAAGAAAACCTAAAGGTTGTCATGGAGAAATCAAGAACGTACTTTAGCGACATCTAGTTTGATTTCGGGAACTAATGTTTTTTTTAAATACTTCCTCATTTATTTTTATAGCATTATAGCATTCCACTATCTAGTATTAAGGCTGCCCACACAGGCGCGTTTTTATAGGTCGATAATAGCGGTATTGAGTCCCGATTCCTTACATTCCTTGCATACAACTGCATTTTTATCGTCCCATATTTCTTAAGAGAGAGTAACGTCATTTGCGTCTTAATAGAAAACATTCTAGAACTTATATCGGAATATCGCAGGACGGAGAAACGCAATGTCCTAGTTCTTGCGGCGTTATTATCGCAGCAGTGTGTAACTACATGACCATCCTAATACAAAATGTACTGAAAACAGATACCGCAGTAACACATGCGATATTATCGATCGACCGCTAATAACGCAGCTGTGTGGTTGAGCCTTTAGATGTTCATAAAACAAAAGTATCATTATAGACCTATGTCAATCGATCATTTTTCAGAACCCGGGTCGATCATGCCTGCATAGTGATCGAGTTAGAATGACTCGATCTTTTCGATCATTTGGGTCGCACAACAAATGAACTGGGACCCAATTACCCAAGTGATCTGCTATGCTGAGCAGCACGCTGAGCAGGTTATGCTGCAAAATACAACTTTTTAATTATTTTGGCTAATTATTTGAAAAAAATATATACGTAATAATAATTAAAGATTGGCGCTGGGTATCATAGTTCTTACACAAGGCGGAAAATTTGAAATGTTCGTGCTTTTATTGATTTTTACCGTTTTTAAAACAATATTTCCAAATATTTTAAGCGATTCGCGAACGTAATAGTTTATTTGATATTTATTTTATATATCTGATATTTTAAATTATAAGGTTAATGCCAAAACCAAAACAAATTTAATCACACAAACACGAATAAACTTTAAAAAGCTCACGAACATAAAAAGCTTAATTTAATTTCGTTAATAATCTAATGGTTAGTTAGGCTCATTCATTAAGTCAAACCCATGCACTCCCTTAAAAAACTAACACCAAATAATTAAAACCTAAATAAAGCGCGACGATCTTAAACGCGTGTCACCGGTGCAATCGATCGCGATCTATAATCGTCAGTTCGCGCGGGCGCGGGTCACACCGGTGAACCGCAATAAACCATGAATATCAAAGTATTAACCACGAATGTCATAATATTATAATTTGACATTCGTGCAATAAACCGGTTTATTCCACCACTCGCGAAAAAGAGTAAGAGTGAACGAACACGACTTGTAAGTAAATGAAAGAGATAGATATATCGAATCACCTACGCAGAAGACTCGATCATTTTGTTTGCAAGCAATCAGTTACATACAATACCGCTATTATAATAAAGTGCAATTTGGCTTGCGTAGGTGGGGTTAAATAAGCGAATCTTTTAAAGAACCGTGATACGAAGACTCGTTTACAGTTTAAGATCGAATCGAACCGATTCGATCAATCGCGATCGACACAGGTCTAATACCTACTAAGTCTGCGATCATTATGGACCTCGTCGGGTACAGCAAATTTATTTTGAAATTGAGACTGAGAGATGTCAAATGAAAACAAAATGTGTCATTTCTGTTACTTTATTAAATATTTCATTTTACAACCGGTGAATTCAGTAACATTTCATCACATTATCATACAATACACATAGATAGTAAATTTAATAATTGCGGTTACAGACACAGATAAATAGTTATAAATTGAATACTTTCACGAATAATCGAGTTACATCATTACAGGAATAAGTTCAATCTCATTACATAAGAATTATAGGATATAATAATTTCAATATTTAAAACAAACCAGTATGAAAAAGAAATGCCTTTATTATATGACAATTAAAAAAAAAATCTAACGCCTACCAGATATGTATTGATGTTCACAATAAAGCAACAACTCACTTGTAACAAATAAATCATAATATAACAGTCTGATCACACAAATATTACAAATTAAATAATAAAATGTATATGCCATCTAGTTATTTACAAGAGTTAGCTAACTAAATAACAAAAGATCTAATATTAATTTGTAAGACAGATAATAATTCGCCGAACGGCCGTCTAAATACTGACTTGCTGTACATAATACAGCGCATCTAAGTGAACTATTATAACCAATTGTCTAGTTTATCTAATACTAAATAAATTAAAGTCCTCGCCTTGTATGCTAACGATGCTAGTGTAAATCTTCTGACCAATATATCGGATAATAACGACGCGTCCAATATGAAGTATGTTTTGGAATGCATTCACTTTTACTAATATTCATTTGCCCAGACACTAGCATCACACTGCTAATATGCATTTAAAATCCATCATTGAAACGCACATATTTTTCGTATAAAACCAGTAATAAAAGTTCTTTATAAAACCCGTTAAAAATTCCATCGCATAGCCTCTGTATATCGAATTAAAAAAAAGTGTACAAACGTTGAGCAATGCAAATACTTATTGTAGGCATTTAATAGATTACAGATTAGTTTGATAATATAATTTTAATTATTGTATACAATCAAATAGAGATTACATTCGGTTGAATTTGAATATGGATTTTTAGTGAGACTATTTGATTCCGATAACATCAACTTCAATGGTTTTCAATGAACTCATTGTTGTCAATAAACGTATATCAATTGAATTGCCTTAGTATTACAATTTTTCACCACTCTAACTCGAATTGTGATCTATAGAACCCTTACTACTGTTAAAATATGATTGGTTGTCAACAAAATTCCTTTATCATATATTATTAGTTTCCACTACTCATCACTATTATTAGTTTTCACCACACTAAATGAATCGATATTCATTATAGACGTCACTAAACACGAAATGTAAATTAAGTCTAAAATAGAACTGTATGTTGATATTTCTTTTTCTTGATGTTTCTTGACATTTGGAAACGTGGTGGTCTCTTAGTATTATTTGGAGGGTAGTCGATCAGTCTGCGAGTAGCTGCGTGGGTTCTTGTATCTGCCGCGAGCAGAGCACGGCGCATAGTCTCGGTATGGCGCCGGCGAGTATGCCGGCGACGTCCGGCCGTTATGCGTAGGACTCCTTAGTGGGACTCAACGGCTTTGATCCGGACGATACGCTGGAACGACTCTGACGTCCTTCCGGCGTGTGTGACCTGCGGGAATAGGTGAATTTTAAAAATAAATATTACAATCTATACGTAGTATAAAATAAAGTCGATTCCCGCTGTCTGTACTTTGAGATATTTTAAACTTCACAACTAATTTTAATGCGGTTTTCAACAATATACAGAGTGATTCAAGTGTAATATTGGATTTGTAGAATAATATAAAAATATACGATTTCTTTTAATGAAACACTAAGTTTTATATTTACTTTTGTGATTCTAGGTGAAGGCTATTCCGCGAAGGCGCCGATGGACTGAGCTTGTGGTTCGCCAAAAATGTACCGATGGATTCATCAGAGCTGTAGCTGTCATTATCACTGTAACAATAAAACAAAACGATGTTACTAACTTTGATATAAATTAGAACTACCTAAAATAATAGGGGTGTAGACAACTTCGTTTTATTTATATTTTTATTTTATAGATATATACGAAATATACCTAAAAATATATTTCATATAAATGTAAAAAAAAATAATTAAATAAATTTTAATTTCTCGCGAAAAGGCCACTTCTGTCATGGCGTCGCTATGAAGTCACAGCACTCTAAAACGAATATCGTTCTATGTATGCATGAGGTTGAATTGAAAGTTCTGATATGAGTAAGAGGGTCGTGACGTCACGCGCTGTTTGTGGTCACGTGACAACGAGCATAAAATATTTGTCACGTGATAGTATATTAAACGCAACCAGACAAAATATATTTCCGTTTACTGTCTACACCCGTATTGTCAATTTCCACAACATGTCAACAGCACCCTGTGACGGGTCCGGGGCAGCCCCGGTCGCGTTACCTGTCCGTGTCCCTGGAGTCCCCGGGGCTGGAGAGGTCCCCGGCGATGGCCTCCTGCAAGGCGGCGGCGCGGCGGGCCGCCAGGCGCGCCTCGTCCCGCGCCGCGGCCGCCTCCGCCGCCGCCGCCGCCGCTGCGGTCTCCGCCGCGGCCTTGGCTCGGGCCGTTTCGCTCAGCTTGGCGTTCAAGTTGGAGTTCTCTTCTTTGAGCTCTCTGTGCGATTAAATATACATATTATTGTAAAGAGGGAAAGGAGTTGAGTTAGGCTACAATTTACGCGGGCTGACTCGCGGAAAAACTGCTTATTATAAATAAATTGTTTGGATTGATTATCTTTGACTGTTTATGCGATTTAAAAGTGTTTTCGACGCTTTTTAATTTTAATAACAAAAATCCTTCGGAACAATAAAAACTTTTTGCTACCTTAAAATTGAATCAAAATTGAAATTTATTTTTATATCCATTAAAACATTGCCGCCATATTCGTGTCATCCGAATAGGTACAGATTAAAAAATTAAAAAGGCTGCTGTTTACTAAATAATCTGACAGATGCAGAAATTTTCTAACGAAGTGACGTCACACCACTACGATGGGTTATATTTCAAATCACGTGATTAACACAAACATTTAATTTATCAATTAAGATGATGATGTGTTTATTTCAATGTAAATTCGTGACTATTTATTAACTACCGAAACTTTCCTATTCACGGTGCACAGCTAAAATACGATCTGTGTATGTTTAATTTTAAAGTTCATATCTTATATTCCGCGAATATTCATATTAGTTATACCTGAGTTGTCTGGCCAGTTTCCTTAGTTCATCAGCGGCGTGTTGCTCTCTCGCTCGCGCAGCGGATAACTCGCTCGACAACTGCTCGTGCGACTCACGCAGGCGGGACACTTGACCCTCTAAACGTCCACGGGCCGTCGCCTCTAACTCCAAACTAGACTCTAATTCCTACGACATAACGTACAATCAATGTTTGTTTACATTATTTTATGTATTTATTATATATTTGATCAACTTTGTATTCACAATGCTTTATTGGGAAATATACTTAATGAAAAATATTTAAAAAACCACTTTGTTCCTGGTAGTCTCAGGTGATATCCATTTTATGTATAAATAATGATTACGCCGTTAAATGAAATATCTTCTGTTGGTTTCTAAATTTACTTTTCCTAGCGATTCTAAATTTATAATAATAAAAAATAAAAGATTTGGTTGCGTGTATCGTTGTAAGAGTAATGCGCTCGGTGGTTTTTTAACTGGTTGTGGAACCCCACAAGCGATGGTAACCACCATCGCTTGTAGTCCTAGTTAATTTAGTAACTGGTAATGAACTACTGTCTGGTTGATACAAATAATTCTAAAAAACAATTAAAACATCAACAAGACGAGGAGAGAAATATACCCGTTTATGAAGTCACAGTCTAGTGAACTTTAGATGTAAAATAACGAATAAATCCTAGATTTTATAATGAATATAGAATAATAAAAGTTGCGAGGATGTATGTGTGTTTATATTTCAATATGTTTGTTGCTCTTTCACGCAAGAATTATCGAACGGGTTTCGATGAAATCTGGATGGACGGGCCAAGTCAAAGTTTGTATTAACATATTTTAACCCACTAAACGGTTCTCTAGGGAACCACGCGGATGTAGCCGCTGGCGGAAAGCCAGTATGAAATATATATAATTAAAACAGCCAGTTGCACAAACATTCATTAAAATTGTCATTAGTTAAAGCGGCATTACAAATACAAATATGTTATTAACTAGTTCTTAAAGAAGTCATGAAACCTTAATGGACGAAGCAGTGGCGGTTTTATTGAATGATTGTGGATAACGTTCAACCACCGACCTTGTTCCTCATCTCGAGGCGTCTCTCCGCCTCGTGGTGGGTGAGCGTGTGCCCCGCCTCAGCGCTGGCGAGTCTCGCCGCGAGTTCCGCGAGCCGTTCCCGAGCCTGACGCGCCTCCTCCGCGGCCGCGTCGCCGCGCGCGCACGCCTCGCGCAACTCCGCCTGCGCCGCGCATAAAGCGCTCGCGCTCGCGCGGTACTTCTTAAGTAACTAAAAAAACAAACTTGATTTTAATACAAAGTTCTCTAAGAGAAAATAATCATTAGGAACCGGTCATTAGGAAGGGTTACGAATGTGGAAGAGGCCCTCAAGTATGTATTTTAGCCTGATGAATAAATGGCAGACAGCGGAGTCTCAATGGTAACGTTCTGTTTCCACACTTTGGGTAAATATATGACTACTAAATTAAATATTATTTTTGACTAGTTCAAGCTCAAACGGTGAAATGTAGATTTTAAGATTTTACGTTAACAAAAACTTTAGGCATGTTTCAGAAAGCGTTATGGCTAATGTTATTTTCACTCGTAATTTTCTGTGAAAGGTTGTAGAGAAAATGCTTCTCTGCGTGTTTAAACAATGCACAAATTACACATTTACAATGAGAAAAGCAAAAAAGATATCATTCCATGCGTAAGTACTGTAGTTACTCTTCTTTAATAAAAATAATAAATTGCCATTTTTTCGTGAATCGTGTTCTATGAGGATACAGCAGTTGACACATTAAGTTATGCAAGTATGTTCATCTCGTTCTAACAACAGGTATGCTGAAGATTCAGTTAGGAAGATAACTATTTTTGTTTTCTTTACGCCTTTTGTGGTTGTATTGTAATGTTACTCTACCATAATAAAGTTTACGCTGTTTTAGAACGCAATAATGCGTGATAATAAAATGTCATTTTAAGCAAAGGTTAACCTCGTTCAAAGTTCTACGGGAGTAATATTTACTCCTAGAAGGTAGTTGATTTGTTTATTCTCCATATAATATGATTTAGTTAATTTAGTGTTTAGGATTTGTATGCGCAAATAATATAAATAAGTGAATGTTATGTATGCCTGTAATAGGGATGACGACTGGGTAAAAAAATGCAATTCTTTTTGTTCGTCAGTCAGATAATAGAAAATTATTAGATACGTATTTTTTTTACTTCAATTTAACAAGAAATAGAACAGTTATCTAAACAGGCATTAAAGTAGAGGAGCGGGGGCTTGCTACGTCACAGTTTAGTAGAAAACGTACCATAACGTGACGTCATGCGAAATTTCATGTAACGCCGTATTTAATGATTACAAAAAAAAATAAAGAAATACGGGTTTAATATTTTTTAACACCTTACCTGACGGACAAACAAACAAAAATTTGTCGTCATCCCTATTATGATATGTATCAGAAATGGTAATTGTTTAAATATTGTATTGTAAATTTTAAATATATATGACGTTGACGTACCTAATTAAATAAATAAAAAAGAATATGAATTTGGATTTATACTAAATATGCGTGTTTAGCGTATATTAAGGTGGGCGTTCACCTCGGCGGCCTCCTCCTCGGCGTCGTCGAGCAGCGCGCGCGCCTGCGCGGCGTCGCGCGTGGCGGCGAGCGCGCGCTCGGCGGCGTCGCCCTTCGCTCGCGTCGCTTCCTCGAGCGCCGCGTTCGCTTCCGCCGCCTCCGCTTCGGCGGTCTGTTTCGCTTTAGTCGCCGCTCGCACCGCCAACTCGAGATCCTCGACCTGTCAAAGTCGAGTTTATATTTGATATATTTTGCATTCACAATGCTATAATGAAAAAACCATCCAAACAATCTTCGCAATCAAAAGGTCAGAGTGGATATATTAAGTTTTTTTCATTAACGTTCAGTTGCACAAACGTTCATTAAGGTTTAATGATGCCTTTAAGCTCTAATGAATGTCAAAATTGTATGGTGAATGTCACTTTAAACTAATGAAAATTTTAATTGATGTTTGTGCAACTGGCTGTAAGAGTAATAATAGTAAATCAATATAATAAATATAAATTATTAATATAACTGTTAGAAAAAAAAACGAGTGCAGCAAATAGAAAAAATAAAAGGTAAATTTCATACGTAGCATTGGCAAAGTTCGTTTGCACAGAAGAGAGCGAGCTGAAGTTAATGGAATACGAGTATCAATACTCTTGATATTAAAGATTTTAACGCTTTAAGATCCCATTTGTAGTACAACTCGAGCCTGGCGAAACGTGCCACGATATAATATGAAAAACGTAAACTTTAAGTTTGGCTAGTTCCTGCTTTAGAAAATCGTCATACTGCGAATAGTGACTGGTACACGACCATTTGTTTTTTGACTAATCTAATAGATTCTTTGGTCGTAATTCTATTATTAACCATACCTGATTCTTTAATTGCCTTATTTGTGCTTTGGCTCCTCCTTCTTTCTCCTTCTGCTCCAGCATAGTTTGGGCATCGCGCAGCAATGCTCGATATCTCTTCAAATCTCTAAAATATAATAGTATGTATTATTGCAAATTTAACAACAAATAAGATATTTTATTTATTTTTTCTAATTTACTTTATTTGAATATATTAACACAATAAAAAAATTATGACAACATCTATAGCAGAGTGGTTTGAACGCCGGTTTCAAGGTGTCACCAGGTTGTATCTCATGAATCGTGAAAGTTGATATTATTTATGTTGCCACTTCAACAATAAATACTGAAAACCAGGATAAAAAAAATATTTAATGGGACAATAAAAATGTTTTTTTTTTTTGCTTGTTTTTGCTCAATATTGATAACGACAATAGGTAGACGCTTTAAAAATTTACGGAATATATATTTTTATAATAATTTCGAGAATACGGGATGGGTGACCAAAAATAAAATTTAAAGGTTCATAAAACATGATTTTTTTTGCTTGTTTTTTTCTCGATATTGATAACAACTACAGGTAGACGCTTTAAAAATTTACGGAATGTGTATTTTTATAATAATATTGACCAAAAAAATAAATGATTATCACGAGCTACTCTGTGCTTCGGAAGGCACGTTAAGTCATCGTTCCCGGCTACATTTGCAGTCGTTACGAGTAATATATGTCCAGCGTGCCTTGCAATGGGACCGTAAAATGATTGATTAAATTAAAGTTAAACAAATACTTAAGGAGGGCTCTCATATAACAAATGTCTTTTTTCGCTCGTTTGGTTTGGTCGTAACCCTTGGTTTATTTCTTCTTTTTTTCCGGTACGGAAGCGTGGGAGAGCCACGCTTCGGCATGAATGGGCCGGCTCGACCGGAGTGATACCACGGCCTCACAGAAAACCGACGTGAAGCAACGCTTGCGTTGTGTTTCGTCGTGTGAGTGAGGGTACCGGAGGCCCAACCCCTCTGTTCCCTTCCCTCTATCCCTCAACCCTTCACTCCAAGGCCGGCAGCGCGCTTGTAGCCCCTCTGGTGTTGCAGGTGTCCATGGGCGACGATAATCCGTCTGTTCGTCTGCCCCCTATCCCATAAAAAAAAAGTAACAAAGAGTGTACCTCTTGAGCCGTTGCACCAGTTGCCCCTGCTCCTGGCTGTCGGCCCGCGCGGCCTCCTCCAGCGCGGCGAGGCGCCGCTCCAGCTCGTGCCGCTCGCGCAGCAGCAGGCTGCGCTCCGAGTGCTCGCTCTCCAACTGGCTCTCGAGCACTGCCAGACAGTACAAAGTCAGTCATTTTTCATTTCTCTTATACGAGTACGGCACGGGAGAAAGAAATGGTTCATATTCATGATGAATATGGTGTTAGATATTTTAAACTAATGTCATTAATATTGCACCTATGTATTGTGTCCCGTGTTCTGTAGCTATTGATATATATATTAAAACTAGCTTCCATAATTCGCTGCTTATTTATTTAACTTTATTGGCCAATATAAACATGGTACAAAAGGCGGACTTAATGCTAATAGCATTATCTCCCAGCCAACCCTTGGGAAATTTGACAAACGAGATGGCGGTACAGAGCAATAAAAATATGTGAATAATTTAAATAAAACTACAACAAATAATACTAAACTCATAATAAATATACGACAACATATACCAAAAACATAAATAAACTTACACATATATATACATAGATGATGATGACAATCTTCACAAGCCTTGCAAAAGAAAGGATTGGACTTATTTTAAAGATAAATTTATTTGGCGATCTCTTGATGGATTCGGGGGGGCTGTTCCACAGTTGAATTGATTGGAGAGTAAATGAGTTGGACATAAAGCCAGTATGAAAAAGAGGAGTGGATATTGAAAGAGTTTGAAGAACGCATGTGACGTCCATGAGTGGCAGAGAAATATTGAAATTTACACTTTAAGTACTCTGGTGATGTTTATGTTAAGTACCTAGACAAGTCACGCTCTCTTAAAAACCTCTGCGGTGGTGTCGTATGCGTCGGGTTGTTACGTTCCCTAAAATATGGTTGAGCGATGGCTGCCAGCGGGGATGAGTCAGCTTTGGACTACTTAATTTCGTCCATTTTATTTTATTATGAATTCTGTATATTGATTTATCAATGAGTATGTATGACTCGGTAACCGACATATTAATCATTAATCGATTTTTTTATTCTATAAAAAATAGTACATTCATATCTGAGAAATAATGTAGAAGTATGTATGGGCGTCTGGGCAATATTAGTAATACCTTTGTTATTTGTGCGTTATGTTTATAGCTGTCATAATTAAAGTTGTTACACTTTATGTAACTAATTTAATGCCATATGTATTTTAGTAAATTTTTGTAGCATATTTTTCCTACATTTTCAATTACATAAGTGCAAAATTTTAAATGGTTTATATGTTCCGAACATATTACAGAAACCTTCATTTTCCCTTGTAGGACACAAGCCTATTCTAATGGTGGCCGAACTTCCGATTAAAGATCATTGAAACCTATTTACAAAAGATCAGTGTAAAATTATAAAGCATTAGGCGCATCAAAATTTAGCTTTCTGCGCAGGTATATCGGTGAGCCAGATCAGTTTTATTTATCTGTGAGTTCTCGATCTCCTTCTCCTTGGTCGAGTGGGCACGATCCCGGTAGTCAATGTAGAAAACGATCTCTTATATTAAATGATTTCAACGTTTTCTTTTTGCTTTTATGACTTCTTTTGTTTTTATATTTGTTTAGTTATGTAAACAAGAAATCATTTTATTTCTTATATATTGTTTCTGGTCTGGCTGTTTTATTCTCATATTTTGATAACACACTTTTCTTAATTTGGTTTAATATTTATACAATTGTCGCTTTTTCCATATTTTCAATTCGTTTATTTCAAAGCAACAATTTATTTGCAAACTAAGTTCATATTAGAACATATTATAGCGATATTTAAGTGTGGCCAATAACAAAATTACACGTTCCACTTAACGCTTGTGATACTTTACTGAAATTGTTGCGGTAAAAGATCATCGGACTGTTTTCGCGCAAATCGTTTACTTATAGAGAGAAACATGCTTTTACATTTTCACTAGCCCCCCCCCCCCCCCCCCCCTCAGTGTGAAAATTATACGTTCCATTTAGCGCTTGTGATACCTTACTGAAGTCGTTGCGGTAAAAGTCATTGGACTGTTTTCGCGCAAATCACTTACTTATAGAGAGAAACATGCATTTGCAATTTGACTAGCCCCCTCCTCAGAAGGATACCTATATCTAGTTTAAAACCAAATAAAATTATTCTATACTATTTCTCGGGTATATAATGTGCAGTTTTACTCTTTAGTTTCTTGGCGGCGTTGGCGCGCGTCTCTTCTAGTTCGTCGTCGCGAGCGGCCGCCTCCAGGCGCGCCTCCTTCCGTTGCTGCTCCAGTAACATCTCCAGGCGGACCTTGCAACTCTCCAGTAACTGTACAAACCAATATCTATTGAAAATATCTGTAAGCTATAGCATTAGTAATAGTAAGGACAGCAAATTAAAAATAAGAACATAAAATGGCATGGACGACTCATTAATAGAATAGATATATTCCTAATATAAGATGGCAAAGATCGTCTTTTGTCATTTGTCGATCGCTCTACGGTCATCCCTAACTGTCACTGTCACTATCACTGTTGCCGACGACGACGACAGTAAAACCTCTTTATATAGTTTTGTATACTTTTAATATTTTCTTTTGTATTTTGTTCTATTATATCATTATATAGAAAAAATATCGAAACCCACGGCTTTTTATTTTATAATTATTATCAATCACATTTACTTTGACATTTGATCAGTTTCGCGCCAATATGGTTCCGGGCATAGATTTATTATTTCTATAGACGGATTACATTTTAGTTGAACAATTCACCAATTTTTGTAATAACTTTGTTATTTTGTAACTAATTATTTTGTAACGTTTTATGTAACTAATTTAATACCATATGTATTATATCAAATTTTGGTAATATTTGTTCCCACCTTTTTTCCAAGTTTTCAAAACGTAATATTTTCCAAATAAGCGTTATAAAATTCAAAACGGTTAATATTTTCCGAAGATATAACAGAAAGCCTATTCCCGCTAAGCTGAGGCAGCTCACCTGTATCTGCCCGGCGAGGTCGTCCAGCTCCTCCTCCTGGTCCCGCACGCGCCGCTCCAGATCGGTCCTGGTCCTCCTGAGCGCCGCCAGCTCGTCGCCGCCGCCGCCCCGTTCCTCGAGCTCGCGGGTCGCGGCCGCCAGCCGTTCTTCTTTCAGCTCGAGTTCGAGCCGAGCTTCCTGTACGGATGACCGAAACGGATCGAATCAAAACACTGTTAACGTCTTCTTCTAATAGGAGAAGAAGTTAATTAATAAACTATATAACAGAATAACATAATAATAATAAAATAACGAAACAGTAATACTCGTATATATCAAATAATCTCATTAAGATTAATTACAATTGCACAATATTAAAATTTCTTTTTATAGAAGCATATGTCAGTAGGGTTAACTTAATAAGGGTGCAGATAACTTTATTAATATTATTATTTTATGAAATTGATCTAAAAAAAATATATACATCATTCATATAATAAATTAAAATCTAAAAATAAATTTAATTTTCAATATTTCCCGTGAATACGCGTCATGGCGGCGCTATGACGTCAATGTTCTCCGAAAGGAATATCGTTCTATGTATGCATAAGGTTGAATTCTCTAAGGTCTAATATGAGTGAGAAGGGCGTATTTGCGGTCTGTTTGCGGTTACATGACAACGTGCGTAAAATATTTGTTTTTTCATAATTAGTTTAAGCAATATTATTAATATAATAAACATAAAAATGTAATTATTGGTAATAATATATTAAACACTACCAGAAAAAAAATGTATTTATTTTAGTTTACTGTACGCCCGTATTTTTAGAATTTCTACGTTTAATTATAATCTCACACTCGCTTATAAAAAAAAAGAGTTGAATACAAATAAAATTGCAGTAATTGTGTTATAACAATAGTAACAAAGCAATTAAGATTCTGCTTTGTATAAACCACAAAAAATAAATCCGCTATAGTCTATATTAAAAGTAATGGTTACTTCAGAAATGTTATTTGTTCATTGAGCCTTACGTACAAGTGTTAAAGTTCAAAATAGACTCACAGAGAGGGTCTGCTCGAGCGCGTACTTGTCGGCGTGCGCTTGGTCTCTCTCGCGCGAGAGTCGCTCCTTCGCCGTCCGCTCCCGCTTCAGCTCCTCCTGTGCGCCGTGAAGTTCGGCGTCGAATTTACGCTGTCGCTTCTCTAATAGATTGTTGCGGCATGTCTATATAAAAAAAATGCGTTTTAGGACAGATTTCTTTTTAAAAAATACCATTAAGTATTAACAGATTGACTAGCCATTTGGCACACGAAAGCAGTAAGCTGTCAGCAGTACATCCGTCTCGAAGGACTAATTATATGTATCGGGAGTATAAACGTTATAGAGAATAACTATAATTAAGACAATAGTTGTTATTAGGGAAATGTCTAATATTAACTTTTAACACAGCATTAACAGTCTTGAAAGTGTTTAACAAGATTCCTTTTATGAATAATTATAAAGAAATTATTCGAGCGCAGTATTCGAGCTTTGACACAGCTCACCTTGCCAAATATTCAGCGTTTTCAGCTGAATCTTAAGGGTCGATGCACATCTGACGTACTGACGGATCACCGTCGAGAGTTTCTTGCGAATGTCATATTACTATATATATTTGTCAGTTTTGACACTACGCGACTACGCGTATAGTCACGTGACGGGTGTTCTATTAGATATGCACCGCCTATTAAAAATCCTTTTCTTTAAAATTAGATATAGCACCGTCGCCGAACAGAGAGAATTTCGTTCGATGACCCGGCACTACACATCTCTTTCGCTCGTGCGTAAACATATTGCTATTGCACTCGCTCAGATGCATCTAGCCGATTTTGTCATAGTGAAGTGAACCCAAAATGTTTACGATATATATATATCTTAGTCGGCACAAAAATCAATAAACGGAATTTATTTTTGTTCGGAGACCCTGCTATATTAGAAAATATTTACCTGTTCGTCAAGAAGTGACCTGAGGTCTGCCATGTCGTTGGTAAGTTTCTGTAGCTTACGTTTCCACTGCGCAGCCACCGTGCGTTGTTCCTCCACCTCCTCGTATGCATCTTGCACCTGGCGAAAAAGATAAATCATGACTTTTAACAATAAAAATACTTATAACTCAAGAAGCACTCAATAAACAACTAATAGCAGCGGAACTGGAAACAAAAGAAAGACGAAATAAACTGTAACTAAAATGTAAAACTAACTATATTTTATAACTAGTGAAATCATAAAACCGTCTTAATTCGAGTTACGAATTAACTTTAAAAATATTCTGATTATTAAATTATTTCTTTGAATGTGACAGTTTCAAAACTACCAACGTGAGCCACTCGAGTGTATTCGAGTCGAGCTGATATTAAATGATGTCACAATAATCTTAACAAGCGGTTAATTAATAAGAAAGGTCAGTCGAGAGCGAGTTGGATTAACACATCCAGGGTTCAACTTTTGAAAATCATTGGTGTTTACTAAGGTTTTCCTGTAGTATTTAAGTTGTTGCATCGTTTTTTTGTATATAAAAAGATTTATACAGTGATAGTAGGTGCCGCTCCCTAAGTAATGGGTTATCCTAGCACTTCGGATAGTGGTTTGACACTGCCGAATACCTACATAATGAATCGTACACCCAAGTCGTTAATACATTAAGTATTTACTCATATATATCATTGTAGTATGTACATAATAAATAAATTATTTGTACATATTAAATAAAATAAAAAAATTATAGACGGTACCGACACAAGCCGCCAAGTTTCGCCGAGACTTCTTGGCGAGAAGAAATGTAAAGGAATAATAAAAATGTAAAACATATCACATCCACGAGTCTCGGGTGTTCTTGGGGCTTCTCGACGTTAATCTGTCCGGCCTATTAGTAATTTAAAGATCAAGGGGGGGGGATTGGTTAATTTTCAAATATTTTCTTTAATAACTTCTAAAATATCTAATAACTGATATATCGTTCATTGTATATATCACACAATATGGCTAGCGAATATTTTTTAATTTTCTAAAAAATTTACCACCTAAACAGGCTTCCATGTTCATAATTTTTTTATTTACGTTGCGCGATCGCCTTTGGGACACCTTTGGAGTATTTTTGACGATTTATGTAACACAACAGACTACCACTATCTCTTTCTGTATTATTAACTTTTAAACTGACAATGAAAAGAAAAAAAAATATAAGTTACAAACCTCATCATTGTCTTTCTCCATAGTTACAAATTAACTTGATTAATAAAAAAAAAGTATTATAAAATCACTTGGTTTTACAGTAACATTATACTGAGTTATGACAAAATTCAGAGTTCATATTTCAACTATTCATTGGTAAAGCAAAACCTCAAATATCTACAACAAAAATGTCGATAAAATCTAATCAGCAACTGACAAGATGTGACGCATCTTCCGTCAAATATGAACAGACCCTAAATTAATTATATAGGTGATAAAAAATAAATATCACTTCAAATTGAATTAAATAAAAACACGATCACTAGTCAACTACTACAATTCATTCGCGACTATTTTTAACGGAAAACCTTCATACGATAAGTACCTAGCAATACAGATAGTGGAGATGATATCAAATCCCGCTATCAGCATCAGTTATGAAATCTCGAATACTGATAAGAGTTACCCACTTTTTATCGATTTCTAATTTTTGAGTAAATTAACAAATATATATATATATTTTTTAATATTGCACGTTCTTTAAATATACTAAATATTTAATTAGCCTGAAATCTCCACAGGAATATACCAACAGATCCACAACGACTGCGGCCGGTACAACTAGTCAAATACCATTAAGGTTAGACATACGAATTAACATGACACTTGAGGGCCTATTTGCCTATTATACTTGAACGATAAGTCGGAAAATTTAGAATAGTTCTTATAATTTTGTTAAAATCAAGTCCTTGAAGATTATCTGTGTTGCCTCAGATACGCTTTGTCAAGTCCTGCTTCCATTCGTTTTCAAAGAAATAGAGTATATGTTATTATTCTTATACAATGTTCTTGTTGCATTATTTACATATTTAATCAATGCCTTTGGTTTATTTTAGTTAACTGAATTATTAAAATTGGATTAAAACAAAATTTGGCATCTAGTTGAACAAAGCTAATTCCGAAAAAAAAATAAACAAAATATGTTTGATAAAGGGTATGTTCTGATATACACTGCGATCACTGAACAGTATGACGTCAATTTAGTATACTGGAAGCCCGTTCCTTTATAGCTAGTTATACTGGTGACTTTTTAAAACGGAACGCAGTCCAGTATACTGTTAATCCTATTTTTTGGCGCCATTTTCAAATTTGTTAATGCAAGGTGAATATAAATATAAAGATTCCCTCTTTTCAAAAGAAAATTGGAAAATTGTATAAAAAAAATTATTTATCAATTAAATCCATCTTATAAATAAAGGTAAGTATTTTTTTTTTGTTTATTTAGAAACTTATCATTTTCTGATTCTGTTTCGACTGATCACGTGATCAAAAGCACTGCGAGCACCTTACCTCGAAATCTCCAGTGCTCACAATACATATATGGCGGCAATTTATGACGTCATAAATTTCCCTAGGGTACTGTAGCAGTGTACTGGCAGTCCATAACGGAACGGATTTTTCAGCAGTAAGACCACTGCGCAGTGCTCGCAGTGTATATCGGAACATACCCCAAATATAGAAATAATGAAAATCATTAAATCTTAAAACGCATATCAACAGATTCATTTATAATAACAACAAATCGTTTTTATACCTATAGCTAGAACAAAGGCTAGAGTGCTAGGCGGTCGCTCTCCAGGTGTCATGTTAATTAGTACACGTAGTATGTATATGATCCTACCTTTTTCTCGAGCTGTTTCTTGACAGTGACCAGCTGTTCGAGGTCATCCTCGTGCTGTCTACGTAGTTGAGCGCGTAGCAGTTGAACCTCTCTATGTGCTGCTTCATATCTGTAAGAAAAAAATATTCATATACAATTTTCGTTACCATAGTGATGGAAATATATCATCATCATCATTTTCATTTTATAATATATAACTCAAAGGTGACTGACTGATATAGTGATCTATCAACGCACAGCCCAAACCACTGAACGGATCGGGCACTGAAATTTGGCATGCAGGTAGATGTTATGACGTAACGTAATCTACGCAAAATTCTTTGAAAGAAAAGTTACCGCAGATTACTTTAGAATAAACGCCATCTATTGGGTGTATTTGCAACCTAGATGCCAAACGATATTGAAGATTTTATCTATGAATCAACGTACATCGACATGTATGATAACTTCACTATAACTTCATAAAACTAAACATTAAATAAACACTTGCTTAAGAAACAATTAATTAGTACATTTTATTCATTTACATTCACGACATAATTGAATAATTGAGATTATAACTATCCTATCCAGTAAGTTAGACCAAAATACGGGTACCTGTGAAATTTGATTGAAATCGGTTCAGTAGTTTTGGAGTTTATTGGCAACATACATCGTGGCACAAAATTTTTATATATATAAGATTTTTTACATTTACTGTATTACCTTCGTTTGTATTTCTCTCCGCTGGCGCTGGCGTCCGCTTCTGATCCCTCCGAATCAGATGGCTCAGCACCGCCAGTTTCCGCAGATCTCCAGTGCAATAGTTCGAGTTCAAGCCTCTCCGATGCCTATATAAATAATAAATAATTATTCCAGTACAATAAGGACTCTAACTGCGGTTATTAATAAATTAAATGACTATACATTGAATGGTAATGCCACATGACGTCACAACCTCTGTAGATTTTGTACATAGTTGTGTGTGAGTGTGGTGTAGGCAGCACACATGTCTTTAATTTTAATGTCTATTATTTATGTAATTTCTAGTCAATTTGAAGACTTTTTCTCTTATCGTACTGACGAAATATAATTTATTTATTATATTTGATAAATTTTGCATTCACAATGCTATAAAGAAAATATTCTTATTGAAGATTACTTAAAAAATCCACTTTGTCCCTGGTCATCTCAGAGTACTAGTGTGTGTCTGTGGAGAGTGGGTTTTTTAAACTTTTTCATTTAGAATTTATTTTTTACTCGAGCATCATCCCTATTAAAGAAATAAAGTCATGTTTTTATATACAAATTCATTTTCAGAGGTGTTACAAAAATATGAAAAGTGAAAATTGAAGAACTGTGAAATATTATAAGCTTTATAAATATAGCGTTGCATTACAATAAATTGTAAGAAGCGGGTATTACACGCGATTACGAGAATAGTTAGGTCACGGCTCTTGTAACTTGGCGAAACGTCGGGAAATATAGGTAGGTGGAAAAACCCTAGCTATTCACGTGTAATACTAGTTTCTTACGATGTATATTCTGCGATATAGTATGAGGAACATTTCAAAATACTGTCAGTACCTGCTGCAAACGTTGGTTGTTAGCGATAAGTTCTCTGTTGTCTCTTTCTACCCTTAGCCTCTCACCGGCTTCAGCGTCGGCACGTTCGGTAGCGAGCGCGGCCGCGGCACGCTCCTCTGTTAACTCACTGCCCACTTCAGACAACTGTAAACAAGATACAAACTTACACTCGTTTTCACGGGTTCGACTAGGTAACACCTAATCTTAAGAAAACACTACGAAAATTTGTTTAATTCCAAAGATACCCTTGACACATCAACGTTTTATTACTTTATACAAATGTCTAGTGCAAAACGCCGCGTGTTGCATGTTATAATTTTAGGCATTGATTAATGTCGTTAGGTCCTTAATGGTCTTTAAAGGTAGTTCTTAGCCATTATTGAAATTCATTTTCATCTAACGGGATTCCAAAACATTTAGCCGGCAGATTTGGGTGACTCCCAAGTTTGGTGAAAACGCTGTTAGACATAAAGGCAACCTCCGTAGCCGAGTGCCTCGCACGCCGGTTTCGAGCCGTAAGTGATATTTAGGTATTTTAAGAAAAAGAAAATGTTTTTGAATGGAGAGCCAAAGCAGAAAAACCTTATTACTTTTATATTAACGGTATTATTTGACCACTGCTTTACGTAACAGTAAATTTTTATTGTTTATATAATTTTATTCCTATAGTATGTAATAATATCGGCATTCGTATGCTAAAACTAACAATAGATAATTCTAACATAGTTTATCTTTTTAACAAAGCGAACCCATTACCCATGAATGAAACGCTAACGAGCTTCCAATATTTCAGACATAACAGGTTTAAAATTGGAACGCATTGACGTACAGAATATGTGGCCATCCGGTGCACAACTAACGGCTTGATGGATATGCAATGTGAGAAACTCCGTTCTTTGCCAAACGCGTTACTCTAATTTCCTCTCGGTTAAACTAGAATAACAAATCAATTGGGAAGGAAAATTGCTCGTTCTCAAGTTTGAGTGACAAGAATGTGGTGACAACAGACGTAAGAATCTAACGCAATTCGTAAAAAGTCCAGTGTCAACAATGAAAAAAATATTTGGCAAGCGATCAGAGTGCGCAACAAGACGACGAATATCAACAAGCGCCACTGCTAGTAAAACCATTTAGAACAGTCGGCCATAAATTATAATTATGAATGAGCTAAAGCTCCGTGAATACCACGGATTCAGCCGTTCGTCGGTTGTAAATAATACGATTGTGCAATGAGAAACAAACCTCATCCATCTCAGAAACGGTAGTGCGGTCTTCTGATATTCCTCTTGTTGATCTACATATACTGCTAGCCCTGCTACCACTTCTACTGAACATAGTGAAACCCTTAATCATTATGTTTGTCGCTGATTTAGATCTACCGACTCTTCTCTTCTTACCATCGTAGTACATTTCTAAGTCAGGCTCGTCTTTATGACCGAGTCTTCGCCATTCATCCATTACATGGTCGGTCCTCTTTAAGAAGTTATCTATCTTAGAGCTAAGATAATTAGATGAGGTCCCTTCTTCTAAATGTGCTGCGATCGGTTTGAACCTCTGTTTCACTGGTTGTTTATTGATACCAAGTACAAAGGATAGATTAGCATCAAAGACTACTGGAGCCTGTTCTTTCGATCTTAATTCTTGTAAATTAACACTTTCTGAGTTATCACAGGTTTGTGGATACATTCTCCGCGGTGTAGGAGTTCTGTTATAAATAGTCGAATTCATACTTGATGATCGCGATAAGGGAACAAATGTACCATTACTGCTGCACGTGGAGTAATGACTGGCTGTACTCCTGAAACTACCATATGATGATGGACTCGGCGACCGTGATATTAAAACGCTAGGCACATGTCGTTTTGCCAGTTCTGCAATCGAACCAGTTTCCACCGAAGCCGAAGAAGAACTTCTCCTATAAGATGGGTTAACCGTAAGACCTGATAATGATTTTCCATTATCTAACGAAGTCTGATAGATGGTTGGAATTTCTTTAAACGGTTTGTTAACGCTGAACTTTTTACCATTCAAAAGTTTCGTTGGAGTTTTCGGTGGAACCTTTTCTTCAAAATTGATCGGTAGAGTCTTTGACTTTTTCATGGGTAAAATGGGCCTACCCAATGGCGCTTTAGGTGGCTTCTTCGGAGTCGCATCCAAAATGGGCGGTGAAAGAGGTCCATTGGAATTTGGCGACATTGTTCCATTTCTTTGAGAAAGGCCGTCATTAGTGGGTGACAATGCACCACTAGCGGGGTAGAGTACTCCGTTATTTGACGCCCCGTTAGTTCCATTATGTATAGGGATCTGGAGTTTCAGTTCTGAAGCGACGTTAAAGGATGAACGAGTCCGGTTTGCGTGAGGCATGTTGCTGTCAATTAACGCAGATGACGTTTCCTGTATTGGCGGAAGTGTCTCCCGCGGCGAAAGTCCAGTGCCATTTCACCGCGCGGTGCAGTATTATTGCCGCGTGCGTTTCGGGATGCGTCGGGCCATCGTTTCGAAATAGAACCGGCGCGAGAGCGCTCCGCGGAGTTACTGCGGCTATGTCGGTCGCCGGGCTGACGACGACGACGACGACGTTGCCGCTAGACTATTTTGGTTTACTTAGATGTCGAAGTGCACACGCTAGTGACAACCGTTGGACCTTCAAAACTCGGTGGATGTTATAGCGTACAACATAACATAGCGTGTCCTTTACTAAAATTATTTTTACTCAACGGCGTCTATTTATAACTTTTATAGAATCTTGTTTTTAAATTCTTGAGTTTCTATCAAGAATCAAAATATTTCTTAGAGATTAAATTAGTTAGCTAATGCCAACAGTTGGAATAACGAAAAAAGAAATTTCTTATGAAACACGTTAATGTTTCTACGACATCTGGTGTGTTGAAACATACCAACGACTACATGTGGGTCGCCAACATGAATGTCAATGGTTCACCAATGCGCAGGAGCATCAGAGCGAAAACTATGAAGGCCACGTCCGGTATTTTGCCGGACATTTACAGCTTACATCACACGAATGAAGACTAGTTGTATTACGATGAATCTGGTTTCAGATTAAATCAAAACTTTTTACAGAGACGAACGCATCGAAAAGTGTTACAAAAACTGTATGCGAAAGTTCTATTTTGAGATTTCTTGCCAAACGTCGCTTCATAAAATGAAATTATTACGTACTCGAAAACTCCTATGCTATTATCTATACTAATATAATAAAGCTGAAGAGTTTGATTGTTTGTATGTTTGAACGCGCTAGTCTCAGGAACTATTGGTTCGAATTGAAAAATTATTTTTGTGTTGAATAGACCATTTATAGAGGAAGGCTTTAGGCTATATTAGGAGCGAAGGAATAATGGAAAACGCGGACGAAGTCGCTGGCGGCCACTAGTTACAATACATGTGGTTAACTATTGTTAACCACATGTATTGTAACTTAATAATTTAATTAATAATTTAACGCCTCTAAAACTGTAAAAGATGAAATGTAACCTGGAATATCACATGTTGTTTCGCTAAAATGTCAATTAGACAATCTGGTGAATTCCAAAGCCCACGTTATAAGAAGTCACGGACAATTCAGTAGACTAAACTTGAGTTTAAATTATTTCAAGTTTATCTAATTTATTAAAAGTAATTAGTAGATATTGAGTTAAAATGTTTATAGCCATGAGAAATGGAACAATGTAGCTTTTATAAATGTTGACTAAAAAAAAACTTAATATTAACACATACAGATACAGTTTATTTTGCTATGATCTAATTACGTTATCTTCTATTAACGTCTATTTTAGTGGCATACTACCCAATTTGTCTACCAAGAAAACTTTCATACATAAATTAATTTCGAATTCGATTCAAACGTTGATTCAACTTTAAATCCAAAGAATAACAACAATTTCAATCACATTAAATTCCGGAGTTTGATGTACTAGTTGTAATTTACAAACGTTTATTCTTCTAAATATCTATATCGGCCGTTCTCCCAACATTTACGCTAATTTTAGCCGTTTTACACAATTTCTATATTTTCTTCAGACTTCTCCGTCCTCAATTCTCATCCCTATTTAAGCTACTTCCTTTTTATCCTTTTTAACCTTTTTATCCTATCGTCATATCATTACAAGGTAGTAGCGCCAATTTAAAGGTCTAATGTTTTTGAAAACATCGGTGATAAAAAAACAACTAAAATACAATTCAATCAGTCCCATGTTCCAATTTCTAATATTGACATTATTTCTTTTAGCCTAGGTTCGCCTGTCAGAGATACCTACCTTACTCTACTACTAGATATCTACCTTAGCAATAAGGCCGCTTTTTATGATTCTGTATCTAGTTTTATATACCCACATGAATATGTTAAGTGAAATAAAAATTATTAGTTCATTCATTTCAATTGGTCAGGAGACGTTTTCCAAATTATTTTTAGCTCTGCCATTTCAAGAATAACATGGTTTCTGTGGCAGCATTATTTTATTAGGTTATTTCTCAGGGAGTATGTAGTAAAAAAAAATACATGAAAGATCGAAACGATTTCGCGTTTAGAGAGTAGACCCTCTTCTGCAAAACTGTTAAAACACACTGGAAAATTTTATAAATAAACTATCCACAATTATATTCGTTATTGCGTATTATAATGTCCCTGGTGTCAGCAAAGATATTCTGGCAATACAACCGCTCTGTTTTTATGTCTCAAAATCGGAGAAGATGTTAGTTATGAGATTTAAATTATGAATTTTAAAGTATCCATTATCATACTCGTATATAGCTGCTATTTATTTTACCGGATTCTTGAAATTATTAGTTGATGTGAAGTTTCAATATTTTAAAATAATTAGTTACTGTTTCTGGCACTGTGCTTTTACAAAATCGTACTTCCTTGTAATTCTATTATATGGCCTACAGCATTTATTGTTTTGAAATATTCCAGAATGTAGCTGTAAGTTTTCTAAATAAAAATGGTTGATTTTACATTACAATAACCAAAACATTTGCGTGAGTGAAACAAATGTTCATTTCGAAATATAGGCAATCAATAGCACGATTTTTACATATTTGATCTAGAATAATCCCGGTTTTTTAAACGACTTAAAAAAGGAAGAGGTTCTCAATTCGACTGTATGTTTTTTATTTGTGTGTTTGTT